TTTCTTTAGACAATGAAATTATTTCTGCTTTGTACATTTGTTTTTGCTCTACTAAATCCTGCATGTCAAAACTAGTTGTAACAATAGCTGTTAAATCGTTAATCCTGGCATAATTATGAGACTCAATAGGGAGTCCAGAAAAGATTACTTTGTAATTTGATTTTTATTTTATTTTATTTTTCTCATTTGAGATATACAAGAATAGTAAATGGCCTCTTAATGTGCACTGAAACAATAAAATAATATTGTAGGATTATTGTGATGAAAAAAATGCTTATTTAACCTTTTGCTTTTCTCTATCTTTTTTGGTGCTGGGAATGTGGAAATATCATTACACCCTGTTGTTTAACTGCCTTTAAAAATGTCTTGTGCAGAACAAATAGGTTAATTTTATGGGTTTTGTTGATGCTAAACTCTGGAGCAGAACCAAAAGACATCCTGAATGCCAAAACAAATGAAGACATTCATTTTCCTTACTATCTTTCTTTACTAACATTTATACATAATGGCTTTAAAATAACTTTCCATTTCCAGTGAGGTCTTTCTCTATCATTTTTTCCCACCTATATGAACATTTGACTGCAATCCTGAGCCCGTTAGATTTTGTTTTAAACAAACCAAACTAATACAACAACAACAAAAACATAAAGAGTAAATCTCTAATTGCATCGCTCCTTTGGAGAGTTCCAATGTGTTAGACTTTACAGTAGTGTGTGCTCATAATATAATGTTCTACCTCTCTAGCTTTCATCTACCCAAAGTTATCTGGTTAAGATCCTTTTCTCTGCCCTCAGAAATCCTACCAGTCTTTCAAAGCATAGGTTATTGCTAAAATCCTAACTAAGATTTCCTTCCTAACTAAATTGGAAATTAATTTTCTCATTCATTTGACACTGATTGCAGCATTTTCACGTCAGTGAATCTTATTTCTCAAACTTTACTGTTATCTCCTTTAGTGAATTGACTTTTCAAAGAATGTGATAAAGGTATATTGATAAATACAAGTTAATCAATAGGCATTGAATAAGCAATGACTGCATTGAAGGCATTGTGCCAGGTAGGCATTGGTAGGAATACAGAAATAAGTCACTGCCTTGCCCTCTGCAACTTATAGTCTAATAAGAGAGCCAAATTTAAGCACACAAGTCATTGTACCCCTAGGTAAAGAAAGTAAGAAAAACAATATAGAGAATCATAGGAGGGAGAAATACTATCTACAAAAATGTTTGGAGGAAAGGTTTTGTTGTGAAACACTTTGTAAAATGTGCCTGAAATAATGATTCCATTTTTCCTAGTACATTTGTCATTATTAAGTTTACTGCTAGAAACAACACATTCTGACAATTCTAGAAAAGCCCTTTAGTTCTTCACCATCATGATACATATCATCTTTCTTTTCCATCAAGAACTAAGCATCTGAAATTCTCTCTCTCCTTCAAGACAAGTTAACCTGTCATAATTTCTCAGATGCCAGCACAAGACATGAGACTCCTGGGTCAGAGACAAAGGACTTTATTATTCTTAGCACAGCATGCAGCTTGAGCTTTTTGTCCCCCCACAGGCATGAGGCATAGCAGCCTAGGTAGATGCTGCACATACAGTGAATATGTGTTACACCTAATTAACCAACCTCAAGGTTAGAAACTCCCAGTCTTATAAAGGGGATGCTAGCAAACCTGTCCAACTTTTGCCCAGAGAGAGACATTATCTTTATTATCTTGGTCAGGAAACAAATCTTTCATTTGCCCTGGAAGGAGATTTTATCTTTATATTCCAAGGCTGTTTGAAAAGATTGTGCAGAACAAAAGCCGTCAGTAGGTGTGTAGAAATACTATAGAGAATAGTCTTCACACAGTGTGTTTAAATAGTCATGGGAATCATCATTCCCATGAAGCAGTGATTTAGGAGAATATGGAATTGCATGTTGAGGTTTTATTATTGACCCAGATATTACTTCATCATTGAAAACATGAACTTGGTATATTTTTCCAAAGAGTTGGGTAAGCTATCTAATACACTGAAATTGTGGAAATAGAGTTTTAACATTATTTTTATAATGATGAATAATGAATAAGAAGGGATGCTAATATTCTAAGAAGAAAGGCCCCTGCATTTCATAAGTTAAGTATGTTAAGAATATAAAGCATTATTCTGAATTACAAATGAGGTGTTCTCTAACTTATGCATAGCACTAAATGAATTAGTCATGAAAATCTTTACAATGATAGATGATCCCAAAATGAATTTGTATATTCTTTACACACACGTTTTTTAGCATATCCTTTTGAATAATTTATGCATCCACAGTAAAATCATAATTCCAAAACCAAACTGAATCACAAGTTAGAATGGATTTTTAAATTATCTGAGAAAATCTATCCCTTGGTTCAAAATTTTTTCCCTAAAATAATGGATCAGTAAAGTTTGTAAATTCTACAGCTTCACTTCTAGGATTTCTACTCTATCATGGTATTAGTGACTCTCCTCAGGTGGATGCAAGGCTGTACCTGGACCTGACATTGTTGAGTTTATGTGATATTTTCCTTAATCATCCATGGTCCACTGATGGATTGATTCACTGCTACAATAAAGAACATTGATTGTGGGATTTTATGCATAGGATGGTGGTGGGTGGAGGGAAAAATAGTAGGAATCTTTGGGGAATAAACAAACCACCATGGAAAAAGAGTCCAGAATACTGGCACAGGCCTACCAATAGAGTCTACTAACAGCAAACTTTGGCACTAGGTACTTCTCAATCTAGGCCTTGAGGACACTCAAGCATCCTGAGGAGGAAAAGACCATTTTTAGAAATAGTATCTTGAGAGGCCCAGGCTACTCTAATGGGAAATTTCTATTGCTTCACCAAAATGTTGACTTGAGACTGGAAGGTGATTGCCTAAAAGAAGGGAACCAAAGAAATATTGATGTAAAGCAGTCATTGGGAAGGAAAGGAAGAGAGAACCTCTTGGGAGTTCCTTAGACCAGTGCATGTGCATCCAAGGTACAGGCCTTTGGAGGTAATGAAAAAAACACTGTAAGGTGTTCTGCTGAGATCCAGCATCCCTCAAAAAAGAATCCATCATCACCTGATGAGCAGAGCCCATGAATATGATACCTTAGCACTGAGTAAGAACTCCATGGACTCTGAGAGAGACACAGAAAAGGAGCTGATTGAAGATTTTCAGTATGGTAGGGTAGGGTGATTGATCCAGCAGATACCCATATTAAACTGTTAAACTGTTAACTAGGAGGCTTAAGGTCTTGGGGCACAGGAAACTTTTGGACACTTAGCAGTTGCTACAGTTACTTAAATGGATCACATCCCTTGGTTCCCACTCACAGATCTACTGTTCATTGTGGGTTTTGACAGAGAAATATCTAATTTGTACAGAAGCTCCCAAATAATACTACTTTTTTTATAAAGTTGTGGTGTGGATGAAATTAAATGGTGAGTCTAAAGGGCTCAGTACAAAATTTAGAAAGCTGATAATGCCAAGTGTCAGTGAAGATTGCTGGTGGAATGTAAACGTGTCACCATTTGGAAGAACAATCTGGTAGCACTACATTCAAATTGAATATATGCTTACTCTAAGACCCAGTGATTCTGCTTCTAGTTATATAAACCAGCGATATCCTTATGCAGACCTCAAAGGGGTGTGTACAAAGATGCACCAGTGTTTTATGTGGTGGAGAGTTGGTGGCCATCTGGATGTCCATCACTGAGAGAGTAGATAAGAAAATTTGGGGGGGAATCCATTCCTTATATATTACAAAGCAATTAGAAACAAACAAGAGTATATATGTACACATAGAACTATGTGTATAGTGATTTTAAAAACCTAGTTTCTAATGAAAAGAATAAAAAAGACTTTACATAAATTTAAAAATACTATTTACATAAGTTTTTTAAATGTGCACAGAGAGCAATCATATACATTTTATAAAAATATATGAAAACAAAAAAAAATGACGTGCCCAGTAATAGTTTATAATGATTGCCCCTTGGAGGGAGGCAAGTAGAACTTGGAGGAGGGAAGGGAAGGAAATAAATAAAATAAGAAAGGAATCTTTCAAGATCATAATAATGAGCAATGAATTGAGTAGTAAACTCAAACCTTTGCAGGTGAGTTTATCATGTGAAAGAAAGAAAAATTAAAATAAAGTTCTTACCACATTGTCTGCCACAGTATAATTATTCTATAGTTTAAACAAAAAGAGGAACAGGAGCAGTCTGAGAAAAGAAAAGAAAGAGAGGGAAAATTTCTTTCATTAAAAAGTACACTTTAACGTCAGAAATTCATGGCATCAGATAATATTGAATGAATTCTGCCTGGGAGTCCAACTAAGTGTCAAGTACAATTATAGATAAAAAAGAAATGTTTAATGTATTTATTCTCTCTTCAAGGTAGAAACCAATAAACTTGAAATATAGTGAAAAATACCTGAAATGCAGTGGGAAACTGGTAGAGTTAATATTTTAAAAAGTAAAGGCCTTCAAGCACTGTATTATTAGGTGATACATTATAAATAAGCACTTAGAGTCATTAATCCTTTAATCCTTTCATGCCGCGAATGTTACTGAGCCCAGCACACACCAAGTTCTGTGCTATGTGGTAAAAATGCAAAGGGGACTCATGGAGGTGCCTGAATGCAGGGACGGACAGGGTGAGCAGACAGACTGGCCTGCAGAGGTTATGAAGGGCGGTCAGGCACAGAGCAGGCTGGTTAAAGGTGCACAACCTCTGAAGGGCTGAGACATGAGGTGAACCTTTAAAAAGTGGGTTGTTTTTTTAAAATAAGGTTAACATGAAGTCAAAGTCAAAGATTAGTGTCTTAATTATGCAAATAATGATGTAAAGTAGATAGTATTGCTTTATCCTTTCAGAAAATAGGACAAAATGAAAATGTATTGAATTGCAGGAAAAAAATGAAATGGCTTTTTAGTGTGATTTATTTTTAGATGCAGTTGCATAATAGCACTTTATCTTTTATTTCAGATACACTGGCCCAGTACAGAACTAAAAGTAGAAGAATGCATAATGAAAGGAAAAGATGCAGTAAGTATTATTCATTGTAAATTAAGTAAATCATCAATTATATCTCTCACCAATCACAACGGACTGAATCCCTAACCTTTTATTTGCTTTAAAAAGAATATATGCAATTCATTTCAGGAATTTTATATATACATATATATATGTATATATATGCACACACATATATATAATTATTTAAAAATTCATTTCAATGTAGAGTTAGAATAAAAGGAGCTAAGGTGCCATCCAGGACTTGATTTTTATTTTGTTTTATTATATTTGAATCAACTTATATTTGTAAATTCCTTACACTAATTTTTGTTTCCTATGTAGTTGGGGGGAAAAACAATAGTATGTCATTTTTTAATTTGAGGAAAAGCTAAACACACTCTGTGAGATTTCATTTCACTTTGTTTAGTAAATTAGAAACAAAAGGAGAAAGAAGAAGAAGTTTGAAGGAAGAAGGCAAACATAGGGAAACATGCCTCATGTAACCCACTGGTTTTTAAAGCGTCTTTCCTGTGCTCGGGTTCGACAGTCCACTTCTCCGCAGCTTCTCTGCAGGGCGCGAGTGAGCAAGGCTGGCAGCCCCCCCCGGCCAGAGCTGCAGCACACTTAAACATGAGTGGAAGAGGGGCCTTCACCTGCTAGGGGTAGCTGGCCGGTGACACCATGCACATCTTTGGAGAAAGGCACGTGCATCTCCTTTGGAAAGTGAACTCATCCTGTTTTTCAGGAAGGAAACAAGATACCATATAAAAGACTAACACACATTATGCCAACTCCGTTCTCTGTGGCAACTGGGTCACAGCCAAGGAATGAGTCAAGACATTCTCGCTGTCTTGGCCCTCAGTGTGATGCTGACTAACTGAACACACTGGAAGGCTATGTCAGCCTAAGCCCAACTGATCGAATTGGCTCAGTCAAGATGTGACATTGTTTCAAGAGATGAAAAGCAGGTGCTTATAGCAATATGAGAACAGAGTGTTTTCCCCATGCCTGGGGGAAAATAGATTATTCCAACTATGTGGGTCACCCATAGAATAAAATGCTACATGAGTAGGAAATTGAAGAAATAAATATGTGCCCTGGAAAATCAGTTCAGTTGTGCTACAACCGGAATCATTTATGGTGAGATAGTTCTGCTGGCTTTTTATCTTAACGCTGTTATATTGGAGACTTTAAAGTCACAATCCTTCCTTATAAAATATTGCATCTACTGATTATTGCATTATTGCACGTATTAATAGCAAAATAATATTTATCATTAAAAGAGTTTAGTATTTATCTCATAATTTGTTTTAAATGAAATAGCAATACCTAATTTGCCAACGACGTGTTTGCTAGAATTAATTTAGCCAAGTTGGTTTGAAGCAATTTTAAACTTTTTTCCATTCAGCTTACTGATCATAAAACCCCCTTAGTGATAAATGTATTAAAACTTTGTTAAGCATGTAATGTGATTTAGGAACTGTATTTGATTAACTGGGGAATTCAAAGATGTGGAAAATAAAGGTTCTGTCCTCACAAAGCTTACAGTTGAATACCAGTATAAGCAAACTAGAGCTCCTGGGCCAAATGTGGCCTGCCATGAATGAAGTTGTAATAGAACACAGGCATACACACTCATTTGTGTATTGTCTATGGCTGTTTTCATGCTATAGGTGCAGAGGTAAGTAGTTGCAATCAGAATGTAAGTAATAGAGATTAGTTTACCCATCAAATTAAATATGTATACTATATGATCCTTTGTAGAAAAAGTTTGCTGATCGCCAAACTATATATCTTAGTGTAATCACTATAAAATGTTATTTTTATTGGCTAGCTTTCTATCTCTTTACTTAGAAATTCTCTATGAAAGTGATTTATGTGAATTTATGTCTGAAGATATGATTTATTTTCTCAAAACATTCAAACCCTGTAATTCTCTAAAGTCTGCATATGTTTTCTTCTGAATAAAGAAGCTTTTTCTAATTATTGGTTTTCTGACTTTATGCTGATTGTTTATATATACTTTTTAAAAATAACAGCATTGAGAATAACTTAATTACTTAGTGGAGCATATTGCCATGCAAAACTTTACGCTTGAATACGTTTCTGAACAGTTCCTTTTTTTATTTCTCAGTGTGTACTAGACTCATGAAAATGACTCACTCCCATTATTAAATATAATTCCTACATTGCTACTAACAAAAATGTACATCCGTCACCCAGGTCTCTTCTCCCACTGCTCCTTGTCTGTTTTTCACCGCCCCTCTTGCCTCCTCTAGCCAAGGGAGACTTAAACAGGAGATTCCTGGGGCTAGGAAAAGACAAAAATCAAAAAAGGGCCAAACATTTTTTATTCCACTAACCGATTTCTCTTTTTTCTGCTTTAGAGTGAGTGTGCAAATTATGTCCGGGTTTTGCATCCCTATAATCGGACACACCTGCTGACCTGTGGGACTGGAGCTTTCGACCCACTTTGTGCCTTCATCAGAGTTGGATACCATGCAGAGGTAAGATGATTTCATCCAGTGCTCTCAGTACAAATAATGATGAAAGGAACTTTGTTTTCAAAGAAAGGTTGTGGGATTTCCTTCGACGAAAGAGGAAAGCATTTGTGAAATACTGATTCAGTTTGCTTGAGTCAGAGAAATGATCTCTCAGTGCTTTTAAAATCTTTGTTAGCTGTAAAATTCCTGAACCAATTAATTCTTTATGTGTTCATTCACTGGACAATTTCATTTCCTTAATTTATCCACTTAAAAATATTTCTTAATATGAAGCTATGTTCTCCATTGTGTTCTTATATAAATCTTTACTAATGTAACCACCGAACTAGAATGACTATGCACATGAATTTATATCTGCATGTATATATAAATAAACTTATATGAATAAAATTATTACATATAGTATTTTATAAAGGACATGCAAGGACTTGTTGATTCTGTAATTACTCCTTAGCTAAGTGAGATAGGGAGGTGGAATTGGAGGCGAGGAGAGAGTGCAAACTGACAAGCTAGGTCTTGAGTGGGTGAGAGCCATCTGTCTCTTTCCCCAGACCCTGTCACCAGGTGATATGGCTTGTTAGTAAACAAAATAGGTTGAAATATAACCTATTTCAACAAACTGGGTAAACTGTCAACTCTCATTTATTTTAGGCACATTTTCAAGCACCTTACATCACCATCACAGTTTCACTCTGTAGCATATTGAACAATATTCTGATATCAGGATCTGCTTGTTACCTTTCACTCAGGTCAAAGGGCAGAATCCTGATTAGGATGTGACACAGATAAAACAGAACTCTACATATTCTGTAGCTGAGCTGCTAGACTCTTGATTCTGATATCTCAATTATGAGAGGGCAGCTATGACTCTAAAATATTTTCAGCCAGCACATATAGAGAATAATATGCATTTCTCTAGTGAAAAATTATTTCTGATATTCCCTATACTAGTTATCACTCAGGTGCACATATAATTAACAATATGTGAAGTGCTTACTCTAAGCTGCCTCTGGGGAGTGCCCTGATTGAGGTGCTTCATCTGCTAAGTGTCCTTATAGGCCCGGTTTTTGATTAGCGTATTTTAAATGTTAACTAATCACCCCTAGTTGTAGATTAAAGTTAAGTAGCATGCACAAACACAGTACAGTGCATTTACTGAATTATTTTAAAGAAACAGTGCAGATGATATAAAAGGAGAACTTTAGATGGAGATGTAGAATGAAAGTAGGTCCAGTGCAGTCAGAATATTTACATACATACAAATATACAATGTTTACATGTATACATACTGATGTGTGTACAAACACATGTTACATATAAACAAAGCCAGAATACTTACATCTGTGGTACAGATCTATTGGAAAAAATTCCTCTCAGTTTTCATTTATCTGTAAAAGCCTTTATTTCATCTTTATTTTTGAAGGATATTTTCTCTGGATGTAGAATTCTGGGATACGTTTTTTTTCTTTCTTTCAGCATCTCAAAAATGTTGATTGTCTTCTAATCTCTTTCTGATGTAAATTCAAGTTTCATATATATATATATAGCAGACTTTTGGGCATTGTCCCACAGATCACCAAAATTCTGTCTATTTTATTCAATCTTTTTCCCCTCTGTTTCTCAAATTGGGTAAATTATATTGATTGATTTTCAAGTTTATTAACCCTTTCTTCTGACATCTCTAATAATGCTGTTAAGCCCAGCCCATTATTGGTTCATACAGATATTGTACTTTTCAGTCTAGAATTATCACTTTGTATATTTTTATTTACATACTGTCCATTCTCCTTAGGTTTTATTCATAATGGCACTTTCCTTTAAGCCCTTGAACATATTTTTAACAACTGTTTTAAAATCCCTGGGTGCCAATTTTAACATGTGGGTCAACCTAAAGTACGTTTGCATTGACTGCCTTTTCTCTTGACTATGGATCTTATTTTCTTGTTTCTTTGCATGTCTAATAATTTTTATTGTGTAATGAACATCCTAGATCGTATACTCTTATTCCGACCCTGGATTCTATTATTTTTTGAAGAGGGTTGATTTTTATTCTAGTAGGCAGTTTACTCTGTTGGACTCAAACTCAAATCTCTCTTTTGATGGTCAGCAGTCAAAAATCTTTTTCAACTTTCCAGCCACTGCTTTTCATGGTCTGCTTGTATATGCAGTTCATGTGTCAGCCAAAGATTTGTGAGAGAATATACACACAGATTTCAGGATTCCTCACTGTTTGTGGATATATCTTCTTGCTTTTCAGCTGCTCTGGTACTTTACATCTCTCATCTATGGCTTTCCAAGATAAAAAGCCTTGAGCTTTCTGCTTGATTCTAGCCTCTCTCATAACATGAACTGGGGGTTTCCTTAAGTTAAAAACTGTGCAGGCTTTGTCTGCTCTTAACTAATCTCCAGTGCCTTCAAATAATTGTTTTTATATTTTTTTACTTAGTTCATCATCATTATCTGTGAGACAGATAGTTCAATACAAGCTGGATTGTCATTAACAGAAGTATAATTCACCTTCATATGTGTGATATTAAGTGTTTTTCTCATGTAGTTATTGAAGTATTAAATATGGTTGAAAACATATTTTGAAAAAAAATCTGTATATAACATGAGAGGAGCCTGTGGCCATGTCATAATGAGAACAGTGAGTTTTATTCCCCAAACTCCATTTGGAAGCTTGATAAAATTTTATCTGAGAGAATGAGAAATTAATATAAACAAAGCAAATACTTTGATTAAAAAATGTAGAGGCAGGCACATATGGGATAGGTCTGCAGACAATAGTCTAGTTGGTCAGGAACAGCAGGATGTAAAGCTGGGACAAATTGGCAGAGGATTTTAATGTTAGACAGTGGCATTCTTTCGTTATTTTAAAGACAACATGAAGATCACGAAGGAGTTTGAGCAGTGTTTGATTGACATGACATTAGTAATATTTTAGACTGAGTCAAGCAGGGAGAGATGAAAGGCAGAGAGAAATTAAAGGATCACAAGGATATTTAATAGTGTTGTCACAAAAGCAAAGGACAGGAAGTGTAGGACTGATGTGAGAAGCTGCTCAGCAGGGGAGTTTATGTAACTTAATATTTTATTGGATGTTGCTGATGAAAGGGCGTTGAACAACAATTCCATTTTATTTCTCAATTGGGAAGAAAAGCAGAGTCTTTAACAGTAAAGGGAACAAAGGTTTTTGTGAGAACATAAAAATGTTTGGTATTTCTCAGTTGTAACCCTTTAATTTCCATGTACATTTATTTTAAAAATTGGTCCTAGAGCCTGGCCAACCAGCGTAGTTCAGTGGTTGAGCATCGACCTATGATCCGGGAGATCGAGGTTCGATTCCCAGTCAGGGCACCATCCCCAGCAGGGGGTATGTAGGGGGCAGCCAATCAATGACTCTCTCTCATCATTGATATTTCTATCACTCTCTCCCTCTTCCTTCCTCTCTCTGCAATCAATAAAAATATTTTTTTAAAAATTGATCCTAGAGCTAGGAGAGGGTATTATCAAAATAAATATCACAATAGATCGAATTATTGAACCCTAGGGAGTTAATGGTCCCTAAAGGGGTCTCTTTCCTCTCTTTGTCCATCTGTCTTATTTTTTCTCATACTTGCTTTCTCTTTCTATCTCTCACCCTCTCACTTTATCAAAGTAACTTGGAAAATGCCATTATTTAGATGGCAGTAGAATGTCTAGAGAATATCCGTGTAATTAGACTGAACAGAGTAGTTAGTATAAGGCAAACCAGGTTAGGGCAAATTCAGAATCACACTTGTAAGAGGAAAAAACATTAAAAAATGATAGACAACATCATTAATGCTACTCAGAGGGCACATTTGGTAAAGAGATGAGTAATTAGAATGTAGAAGATTAGGAAGTGACTGAAAATGACAAAACAAAGGCAGTAATATTACCTATTTAATCCAGAAATAGAATTGTTAAGGAAAATAAATTTTGGTGTCTATATAAAATGTGTAGGAGTGTTGGAAGAAGGTTTTCCTAGCACAGCAGATACAGAAACTTAAATTATTTATCAAATTGGAGGATGTTACCACTTACCTTCTTGGAGTTAAGGAAGGGTGGGTGGGGAGCCGGTTTGCCAAGGAGGGGGCTGTGGGGTAGTCAATGGAGAGGCGTCGTTAGCAGTTGGATATAAAGGGCTGTTTTTCGGCAGAGAGACCTGAACTGGAAATGTAAATTTGAGAATAATCAGTGTGTGCGTGTGCGTGTGCGTGTGCATGTGCGTGTGCGTGTGTGTGTGTGTGAAAGGTGAGACCTTAAGGTATGATGTTATTGCTTAGGAAGAGTATTTGAGGAAAAGCACCTGAATCTGGAGTGCAGAAACACTGATTCTCCAGTATTTGAAAGGCTGGCAGAGGAAGGAAAACTTGAAAGGAGATTAATAAGGAGTGACTAAGAGGGTTCGGAGGAACAGAGGAGAGTGAGGTACCACAGACGTCTCAAAGGAGGCAAGTGTCATTGGTCCTAGAAAGTCTTTGGAGACATTTGAGAGGAGTTTCAGTAAAATGTGAATGCAAACCAGGGTCTTCTGGCGTAAAGGATTGAAGCCAGCTTTCTCTTGAATCACTTTTACATTTTCATTTCATTATTTTAAATTTCTTACTGAAGTATAATATAAATACTTAAGTACAGAGCATGCGACTGTCTTTCTAGATCATTTCCACAAATGGATACCCCTGTGCAACAAGCACCCAGGTCAAATTACCTATTTCTCTTTTTGTTTAAATTTTCACTTATTTCCCCCCTCATACACTCTTGGGGGGTTTTTTGCTCTTTTTTGTTGTTGTTGTTAATCCTTACCTGAGGATATTTTTCCCCTTGCTTTTTAGAGAGAGAGAAAGGGAGGGAGTCGGAGGGGGGGGAAGAGAGAGAGAGATCAGTGTGAGAGAGACACATCAATTGTTGCTCCCCGCATGCACCCTGATGGGGTGGGATCGAACCTGCAACCCAGGTACATGCCTTAACCAGGAATTGAA